ATGCATCTTTTTTATAAAGTATAGCTTTCTTGTTTTACCAAACGCTGAGCACAAGCTGTCGCGCAGAATAAAAACTGTTTTTATTCTTTGATATATTCCAGGGATAATGCTGATCATTCGCAACGCGCGCGCCCACGCTAGGGTCGACTCCACTAATGGTATCGTCTCTCGCCTTGGTCGGCTCAAAGGTTCCTCCTTTTGGTGTTATCTCACAAAATGCAAATGCTTTTCCTTTCAGACATTTTACAGACGTGTGGAAGGCAAACTGTGGTGAAAAGGCTAAATTAGAGGAAGCCTTGATGGTAGAGACCTTTTGTGAGAGATATTTAGAGTATGATAGGATAGTTAAATATACACTCATTCCTTTTGTTTATTAGTTTGAGATGATATGATCTCTCTGCGGGATCTTTTATCTAGAGAACAATGTCATTTTCCTATTTATGTAACTTGCCATATACATTCATTCTAATGCTTTTGTTCCTTTTTCTTTATCCTGCTCTGCTCTCTCTACAGTGAGAGTGAGAGCCATCTGACTCATCTCTGACCACAAGTTGCAGCTTTGTGAATCTGAGGTGGTTTCGGCCTTTATTGCCTCAACCCTAGCTTATTTTATAATTTAAAGTCAATATAATGCAACCAGCTTACTTTTCATTGCCTTTTCTGATTATTTGCAGGCTTTTCTTTTAAAAACTAAATTATTTGCAGGCTTTGCTAGAAGGTAATTGGAGGACATCTTGGGTAAGCTTTACAATATGACCAATGAACCTTCTTTGGCAATTTGAGTTCTAAACTGAATGTGTTTATGCTTTTTATGAAATTATATAAAAGCTTTTCAAGGAAGGCGTTGTGCAAAAGACTGATACAGATGGTTTTACCATCAACAAGCAAAATGTATATTTCAATTACTTTTATCCCTTGCTTGTTCATAATTTACAAGCATTTTCTGAATCGTTCTAGATAACCATAATCAATTTGTTTGGGATAAAATCTGAATCACAGAAATTTGACTATGGGTTTGAATCGCAGAAATTTGACTATGGGTTTGATGTCGTGTCTAATCTCCGTTGATTATTTGAAAAACTTATATAGTTGGTCTCTTGAACTTTCTAATAATCTGGTTGGTCACATGACTTGTAACTAATTTTCATGTAATTTTTGTGTCGTATGAAGGAGCTGTGAAAGTGGAAGAGGTAAAACTATACATGACACTTTTGTTAGTAAAAGAGGTAAATTTGCAATTGAAGTATTCTGAATAATCCATCCTTCAATTTCCCAAAAAAAATAATACATCCTTCATTCTGAAACAATATGGCCTTAATTTATTCAAATAATTTTTCAATTTAATTTAAGACCATTGAGCAAATATGGACCAGCATCAGCTAATTTTCAAATTTGGGCCCATTATCTATTAATATTGAGGGAAAATACTTGATTCCAGTAATGTTGATGTCGCATTAGATCAATATCATCGCTATGATGTAAGTTTTCCTATGATTATTTAAGTACCGATACTAGCCTTTATTTGGTATTGTTGTTAGTATTGATGTATTGGTATTGGTATGTTAATTGTTATTCTTCTATAGTTATCAAACTATTACTTTCAATGTGCAGTTTAGTTTATAAAAATATGAATATAAACATGACGGGCGTGTTGGGTTCTATTATGAAGAGGTGTGTTGGATCTCTTAACAAAGAGGCTTCCAGGTACAAATAATTTAATGATTTTACACTTTTACACCCATCTTAATTTTTCTTTGCAGCTTCGGAGCTGGACGTGAGATCACTTTTCCATCCTTGGATGAAGCTCAAGTTTTAAGGGTACACATTGGTGTTGGCATCATATACGCTGGGCTAAAGACTCAAATTGGATGACAGGAATGTGAGTTCAAGAAGGAACAATAGGTTTTCGATATTGTAAAATGAGATGTTCAGAATTAATGTGTTTTAGAGTTTCAGTCTTTAGTACCCAATCTCTGATCTCAACTGCACTAAAAATAATTAGTATAAAATTTCTCGTTTTTCCCAAGATTGGGCACCAACCGTCGCGCAACGCGCATGCCCAAGCTAGTATGCATGTGTTGGGAAGAAAAAAACAGTAATAACAAAGTAATACGGAGTATATCATAGGATTGATCCGTTGCTACTTTTTCCTGGCAAGCAACAAATGGTTTTCGGGTGAGATGGACGAGGGAACATATTTAACCATCTCACATTCAAATCCAACTTCCTTAAGCCAACTCATCCTCCCTGCATCAATTATGTCTTTGCACATAAACCCCAAAGCAGCCCTATCCACCGCCTTCATACTCTTGCACAATCCTTCCACTCCCGATACCTCCACCACCGCCACAATCTACTTATAAATATATACTTATATATACTTATACACATTCATATTATAATTCTTTACACATTATATATACTATATATATTTATACACATTCATATTTACTTGATATTTAGTTATTATCCATACTATTGTTATTTACTTATATTTACATATTACATTTAGTTAATATATACTTATATATATATATATATATATATATATATATATAGATTTAGGATCAAATGAGAACGATGCTTAACGTGAGAACGTGAGAACACTCACAATTAACCCAGCGTGATACACAATTGAGCCCGTCAGGTGCACATTTGAGTTTAGCTCAAAATAAGCCTATATAAATAATGACGGTGACATTTTAGTAAATACTGTGCCGAACGCGAAAATGTGCATTGGGCGAGCCTCATTGTGCATCACATTTGGGTAAATGTGGCGTTCTCACGTTCTCACGTTAAGGGTTGTTCTCATTTGATCCTAAATCTATATATATATATATATATATATATATATATATATATATATACACTCCGTATATAGGTTTTGGTCCAAATAAGAACACGATCTTATGAGAGAAATAAGAACGAATCAGGACCGTTAGATTTGCTTCAAGTGAGATTCAGTGTGCATTGGATGATACTATAATGTGCATTAGGTGAAATTGAAATGTGCATTACAAAGGGTACGATAGAGTGGCATTATGTGCAGTTGAATTGTGCATTACGTGAAATTGAAATGTGCATTACGTGAAGCTGAAATGTGCAGAATAAAAAGTACGATGTGATAGATGTTATTTTTGTACTTTTTCTCCGCACATATCAGTTTCATCTAATGTACACTTGAGTTTAAATTTTTATTTTGCACATTTCAATATCATTTAAAGCTCATTTCAGTTTCACCAAATGCACAATTTGGTTCCACATAATACAATCCAACGGTCCAGATTCGTTCTCATTTTTCTCCTAAGATCTGTTCTTACCGGAACCGCTCCCTATATATATATATAAAAGTATTAAGTATAAGTGTATTACTCATCTTATAGTAATATACTTATATATTATATACTATAAACAGTATATTATATATTACTTATAATATATTTACACATTATATATACTATATATACTTTAACACATTCATATTTACTTGATATTTAGTTTTTATCCATACTATTGTTATTTACTTATATTTACATACTACATTTAGTTAATATATACTTATATATATATATATATATATATATATTAAAGTATTAAGTATAAGTGTATTACTCATCTTATAGTAATATACTTATATATCATATACTATAAACATTATATTATATATTACTTATAATACATTTACACATTATATAAACTATATAGACTTATACACATTCATACATTTTATAAAAGTAGTTAAATGTTAGACTTCTCATTTATCTATTAAATTAGTAATTGTTACATTTCTCTACATTTCTCTTTAAAGAAAAAAAAATAGTTACTTGTTACGTATCATTTTTCATTTAATATTAGTTAAACTAGTTACTTAGTTAATTGCTACATTTCTCATTAAAGTAAAAAAACTAGTTAATTTTTACATTTGACATATTAATATTAGTTAAACTAGTTAATTGTTACATTTGTCATATTAATATTAGTTAATTGCTACATTGCTCATTAAAGTAAAAAAAACTAGTTAATTTTTACATTTGTCATATTAATATTTAGTTAAACTAGTTAATTGTTACATTTGTCATATTAATATTAGTTAATTGCTACATTGCTCATTAAAGTAAAAAAAAATAGTTAATTTTTACATTTGTCATATTAATATTAGTTAAACTAGTTAATTGTTACATTTAATTTCTCATATTAGTATTAGTTAATTGCTACATTTCTCATTAAAGTATTAATTAGAAGTAGTTCGATTTTTTTTTCAAGGAAAACAAATTGTTACATTTGATATACTCATATTTTAGTTCGAATTTGCTATAGTTTTCTTAGTCACATTTTATTATTACTATTGTACTCATATAAAATATTTGATATCATTTAATATTTGTTCAATTTTAAAGATGGACCGTGGTAGACATTCTGTAGATATGGGTAATCTCCAACGCAACCGCAAGAGGGAGATTGCAGCGACTCGTCCTACTTCACGCAAAGGCAAAGGTAAAGCGCGGGCCGAGTCTTCTTTTCAAAGTCGAGATGATTTTGAAACGGATTACCAACGGAGAGATGATATGGCGATGTCCGACGAGCAACTACAAAACCTATTGTCCCAAAATGATCCACGCTTTGCACAAGAACTGTAAGACCACTCTCGAATATACACATGCACTCTATGTTTGAATAATATATATATATATATATATATATATATATATATATATATATATATATATATATATATATATATATATATATATATAAATGATCATATTTCTATAAGTTTAGCATAACGGAAATAAATTAAAAACTTACTTTTACTTAATTGAATAGTTAGAACTCTTTACATAGACCCAAATGAAATAGTTGAGGAATGAGTTTAATTTGGTATTCTACGTACTGATGATATATAGAGATATCATAAACATGATACTTCATCTTAAATTTAAAGTTTTGAGTAAGGAGATGTCAACTTAATATTTTGTACGAGTGCTAGCAAACCCATGTGAAGAACCTGGCCGACGAATATTCGGCCATGTGAAGAGCCATACCAGTTGAAATTCATCTTCCTCATTTAAGCCACGAAATGACCATGCAGCAACCTTCCCAAATTCATTGTATAGACAAACTTGAGCTGTAACATTAATAGTAGGAGCAAATGACTCATCAAGTGCATGTATAAATATTCCCATAATAAGGGGTAGGACGAAAGGGGATAACATATATCCGCATACATGTTTTACTCCCGAAAATATAGCACTCCACTAAGTAAAGAGAAAATGAGAAGAAGGGGAATGTCGGCCATTACTATCATCATCACAAAGAAGACCCAGCATTTCGATTAGAAGCCTCGTTATCACTTAGACATGCAACCAGAGGAGTACCGAAGCTAGCTAGTTAGTACCACCGGCCACGATACCATCGGTTGGGACCGGACTGCCAGACCGCCAAACCTGCCGCCGACGTAACACTTCTCACCACCACCGTCTATGCACTGCCGTTACCTTGCCGCTGACCAATAAAGAAAGTAAAGAGGAGAAAGGGAACCTGGATTCACACATTGCTACAAGGATGCCGGAGTTTCCTACCGTCACCGGCACTTAGAATATTCCGACGCTAAAAGAAAGTGGTGCTAGGCAAAACTGCCATCGGCTAAGATGCTCTCTGTCCCTAACTAGACTACTAGAGTATAACAAGAGATTAATAAACTAACATTGCTGCTTATCCACACTCCATTGCATGGTTTTCCTCTTGGGTTCTCCTTGGACGAATAAAGAAGACGGTCAAGCAAGTGGAGCAGCAAGTGATTTAATTTTTGAGCCGGACCGCCGAGAGTATTTTACTGGACTGGATTTCTATGGTTTACATACTCTCTCGCAACTTAACTAAGGTGAGTGATCGGTTCTATATCTATACATTTTATAACTTTTGGGTTATATATGAGACTACCTAAATATTAAACAATTTTGTGATAGTTAAAGATGATATATAAAATTGCCGTGATGTCTAAATTTTTTAGCATGCTCTAAACCATATTCTACTAGCTAGTAATATTAATTACGTTTAAATTTGTATGCTTAAACTAAATTAGTAATTGCCTTATTTTAGGAAGAACTTTAAAACTAGGATAGAACTAGTTACACATATATTAAAATAGGCTTAATTGTGAATTTATTGGTATATGACGGGTCATGGTACAGACACCATACCCGTAGTGTTGCTGAGAAGATAATCCTATTCCGAACACGTTATTTGTTAAGTACACTTTTGGTGTATCAATAATCACCACGAATACATAATATTCTTAGGATGTACTTTATCGTAACGGACCGTGAACGAACTATCTGTATCTCGGAAGGAAGAAGTTCGGACGGACGGGCCGTAGGAAACAGGTTGTGAACGAGTCCAGCTGTATCTCGGAAGTAAGCGTACTCGGAGCGACGGCCTGTACGAAAACGGGGTGAGAGACACCCAATGGTATAATTAAACGCGGGCCCGAGGCCATTCATGAATAAAATTGATGCGGGCCAATGGCCATTTATAAAGAAATATTATATGGGCCCGAGTGCCATTAAAATAATTTTCCTTATAAGAAAAATCTCAGCCTGGAGCTGATTACTTTAATTATTATATATATGTAACATTTAGTAAAGATTTTACATATTATATATATATCACCCTATTTGAGGGTCTTAGGTATGAAACGATCGTTATACCTTGCATAGGTATAGCGCCCGTCCCTCACCAGTACCAATTGGACTGACCCTTCGGGGCGACATTTTTTTCAGGTTGAAGTTTGTTCACGAGACCAGTTTTATCCATTTGGGAGATTCCCTAGAGCAGACTTGGTTCGTGCTGTTCTCATGTTCTATTTACTATATTTAAAGTTAATAAATGCTCATGGATTATTTAAATTTCTATTTAGGGTCTGTGTACCCATGTATGCCTCCTGTGGCAAATGAATATTTTAAATTATGTTTCCGCTGCAATCTAGTATTTTATACTAGTTAATTGGCTACTTAATAATTTACCTTCTATGAATATTCTTAGTGTGATTGATATACACAATAGCCTTGCATTACCTAACGAGAATAGTCTGCGGATATTCACGAAGGGTTGTGCGGCGGTTGCCACGTCATCGGGTCGGTCCGGGGCGTGACAATTAAGTGGTATCAGAGACTAAGGTTCCTACTGGAAATTTGAATAAGAAGTCATAGGTCGTAAGAGGAAATTCTGTCACCAAGACGATAAAAGTCTAAGGTAGTTGGGTCTTAAGTGAGACCATTGTGACTCCTCCAACTACCTGGGAATTTCTTCTTGTGCTGAAACTTCAATATTCGAAGATCCTTCGATGAATAACCATTCATTTGAAATTACCAAAATCCCGTTCAAAATGTTTTAAAACCATGAGCATAAAATTTATTTTGTACAAAGGAGTTGTTGATGAATATTACATGGTCTCTGGCTGTTAAGAAGGATCCCTTAACAATCAGAATGACAGTAATTGAAGCCAACAAATACCTAAGTACGTATCCGCCAATTGGCAATTGATACCAACCTAACAACTCATTCCTTTTCTTCGACAGCTAAAATGATAAGAGGTAGGGGTAGAGCGACCAGAAGTAACCCCGAAGGTTTAACACCCCAGGGCAGAAATAATGCACCGCCAAGAGGGGGACTTACCAACAGAGGAAGAGGTAGACCTCCCATCAGAAGAATGACCATACCATCGAGAGGCCGTGGTGGTCGGCAAGGGGAACATATCAACGATAATGACCACGCTGGAGCGGTAAACGAACCTCAAAATCATGATGAAGAAGTTGAGTCTCAACCTACACCCCAACAACAACAACAACAACAACAAGGCGTCGAGATACCACCACTAGATGAAATTGGAAAAGTTTTGGATTGGTATAAACGCGCACGAGGGCAACAAGAAGGAAATGTACAAGTCATAGGTTCACAAATGGGAGAACAAGAAGTCAATATGATGTCAAAGAGGAACCGGGAAGAGACAAAACCCTTGATTAGAATCTCCAAATATCTCAGGGAGGCTAGAGAACTGGGATGCAAATCCTTCACCGGAGTAGGTGATATCTCAGTAGCAGCTGACTGGATCTCTAAACTGAAGGAAACAGCTGAAGATATGGAACTGACAGAGCCACTTAAACTCACTGTAGCTACAAAATTACTCGAAGGAATAGCCGCAACGTGGTGGACTAGCATAAAAGGGAAATACCAGGGCAAAGTAACCTGGGCGAAGTTCGAGAAGGAGTTCTATGAGCAATTCTACTCAGCATATGAAGTTAACCTGAAACATCAGGAGTACACTGAACTTAAACAGGGAGAACTAAGTGTGAAGGAACTAGAACAAAAGTTCCGTGATTTTGCTAGGTTCTTACCTGAGTATGCTTCTAACGAGAATCGCATGGCGAGTAAGTTTTGGTACGCACTGAGTTTGGATGTGCGCGACCGTGGAAACTTTCATGAAGAAATGACGTTCAGTCAAGTTGTGAACCAAGGGCTAAGGGGTGAGAAAAGTCTCATGGAGAGACGACAACAAGACCAAGAAGATAACAAGAAGAGACGGGTGGAAGGAGGGGGACTCCTCAACCCACCTAAACGGTCAAACTCCAATGGGACTTATGGAGGGTCTCGAGGACCATCACTTCCATCACAAGGGAGGCAAACTACGTCCATAGCGGACTCGAGATCAAAACCCTTATGGAATGATAAGTGCAGGAATTGTGGGAAAAGACACTCTGGGAAATGTCGTGAACCACCAAGGTGTTATAACTGTGGAGATACAAGCCACATGATGAACTCATGCCCAAAGCAAAGAAGAACTAACCTAGAGCAGAATACTATTAGGCCCACACGTGGAGATACTCGATCAGGCATGTCCCAAATTTCTCCAAACCAACGAGGAGGCCCGACCAGTAATGCTCCTTCAGTAAACCAGGGCCGCACACAAGCCAGGGTCTATGCTATGACTGAAGAAGATGCCCGTGAAAATCCTGAATCAGTAACAGGTAATAAGCCTCGCCTCAAACTAAGTATATGTTTCCTTAATAATTTTAAACTAGATACGAAAACTCAACCATCATGATTTAAGACACATTGGTGGGTGAACATGTATTACATGTAGGAAAATGTACTCACATTGGGTAAACAATCATCACATGTAGGAATTGTGGTTATTGACGGTATGGATGCTAGAATCCTTATCGATACTGGAGCACAACGTTCTTTTGTGAGCGAGACGTTTGCAACCAAATTGAGTCGCCCAAAAGGGTTATTGCCACAGACCTTAGTGGTATCAACACCCCTAGGCGAGGAGATTGAGAAGAAAGAATTTTACCCATCTTGCATCATACAAATACAAGATTGCCGGCTCGAATGTGACCTCATTCCTCTAGGAATGCTCGAGTTTGATGCTATCATTGGCATGGATTGGCTATCTAAATATCATGCAAAAGTGAACTGTTCGACAAAGGAGGTAGAACTTGAAAATGTTGAGGGAAAAGTTCTACGCTTTGTTGGAGATAGAAAGGTGCTACCGAGTTGCGTAATATCGGCCTTGAGGACAAAGCGACTATTGAGGAAAGGATGCCAAGCATACCTAGCATATGTAATTGACAAGTCTAAGGAAGAGAAAAATATTAACGATGTAAAGATAGTTTGTGACTACCCAGATGTATTTCCTGAAAACTTGTCAGGACTCCCGCCTGACAGGGAAATCGAGTTTGTAATTGAAGTACAACCGGGGACAAACCCTATCTCGATTCCACCTTATAGGATGGCGCCTGCTGAGTTGAAGGAGTTAAAAACGCAGTTACAAGAATTGGTGGATATCGGTTTCATTAGACCGAGTTATTCACCATGGGGGGCACCAGTTCTTTTTGTCAAGAAGAAAGATGGGTCCCTACGAATGTGCATCGACTATCGACAACTCAACAAAGCCACCATCAAGAATAAATATCCATTACCAAGGATTGATGACTTATTTGACCAACTTCGAGGAGCCACCATATTCTCGAAAATCGATCTAAGGTCGGGGTATCACCAGTTGAAAATAAGAGAATGTGACATACCAAAGAGTGCGTTCCGCACACGGTATGGACATTATGAATTCCTTGTAATGCCATTTGGTTTAACTAATGCACCTGCTGCATTCATGGACCTAATGAACCGGGTATTTCATCCCTACCTTGACCAATTCGTGATCGTCTTCATAGATGATATTCTGATCTACTCAAGGAGTGAAGAAGAACATGAAAAACACCTAAGGATTGTGCTTGGAGTACTTAGAGAAAAGAAGCTCTTTGCTAAGTTTTCAAAGTGTGAGTTCTGGTTACGAGAGATTGGTTTCCTCGGACATATCATATCCAGCTCAGGGGTAACCGTGGACAATAAAAAGATTGAGGCGATCAACAATTGGGAGAGACCAAAGAATGTGAAAGAAGTTAGAAGCTTTTTGGGTTTAGCAGGTTACTACCGGAAATTTGTTCAAAAATTCTCTGTACTCGCATCCCCCATGACAAAGCTTACACGAAAAGGGGCTAAGTTCATATGGGATGAACATTGTGAAACTAGCTTTGGGGAGTTGAAGAAGAGGCTAACTGAGGCACTAGTACTTGCCTTACCTATACAGGGAGCCGGTTTTGACGTTTATAGTGACGCAAGTATTCGTGGGTTGGGTTGTGTCCTAATGCAACAAGGAAAAGTTATAGCTTATGCCTCACGCCAACTAAGGAAGCATGAGGTAAACTACCCCACCCATGATTTAGAACTTGCAGCGGTGGTCTTTGCTCTAAAAATTTGGAGACACTACCTTTATGGAGAAACATGTCACATCTACACTGACCATAAAAGTTTGAAATATATGTTCACACAAAAGGAATTAAATATGAGACAACGACGTTGGATGGAACTAATCAAAGATTACGAGCTGGTAATCGAGTACCATCCGGGTAAAGCCAACGTTGTTGCCGATGCCTTAAGTCGGAAGAGTGTATCAGAAACAAGTACTACACCCAAAGAGTCAATGGTATCCAGTCTCCGAGCCTTAAGAGCTCGACTCACCATGACTGACTTGGGCATCTTAGTAGCAAATTTTGAAGTAAGGCCAACATTACTTGACGAAATCAAGAAGTGCCAACAAGAAGATGAAGAACTCAGTAAAGTTCGGGCGCATATGATGGCAGGACCCGTTGAGGACTTTCGGGAGCGTGAGGATGGATTATTGCTCTTCCGTGATCGAGTATGTGTTCCCTCAAAGACTGAACTTCGAAAAGCCATCCTGGAGGAGGCCCATTGTTCTGCATATGCCATGCATCCGGGAGGAACAAAGATGTACCGAGCCTTGAAGGAGAGCTATTGGTGGAGTGGAATGAAAAGAGAAATAGCTGAATTTATCAGTCATTGTCTCACTTGTCAACAAGTCAAGGCCGAACACCAACAACCGGCAGGACTGTTACAACCACTATTCATCCCTGAGTGGAAGTGGGAGCACGTGACAATGGACTTCGTAGTGGGACTACCGAGAACCACAAAGAATTATGATGCTGTGTGGGTGGTAGTTGATAGACTAACCAAGAGTTCTCATTTCCTACCTATCAACACAACATACTCACTCGAAAGGCTTGCCACGTTATATGTGAACGAAATTGTGAGATTACATGGAGTCCCAGTATCAATTGTGTTTGATCGAGACCCCAGGTTCACCTCTCGGTTTTGGCCTAAATTTCAAGAGTCGATGGGGACCAAGCTCAAGTTCAGCACTGCTTTCCACCCGCAGACAGATGGACAGTCAGAACGAGTGATCCAGATTCTAGAGGATATGTTGAGAGCTTGTGCATTAGAGTTTCAGGGTAGCTGGGACAGACACTTACCACTCGTGGAGTTTGCTTACAATAATAGCTACCAGGCAAGTATTGGCATGCCACCATATGAAGCATTGTATGGGAGAAAATGTCGAACACCAATATGTTGGGATGAGGTTGGAACCACAAAACTAGAGGGAACAGAGATAGTGCAGATAACCAAAGAAAAGGTCAAATTGATCAGAGAGAAGCTCAAAACCGCACAAGACAGACAAAAGAGTTATGCAGATAAGCGTCGTAGAACTTTGGAATTTCAGGTTGGGGATCAAGTCTTCCTTAAAGTCTCACCCTGGAAAGGAGTTATCCGATTTCAGACCCGAGGGAAATTGAATCCTCGTTACATTGGCCCATTCTTTATAACTGAACGAATTGGAGCTGTTGCTTACCGCCTGCAGCTAACACCTGAGCTACAAAAGATCCATAATGTGTTTCATGTATCCATGCTAAAGAAATATGTCCCTGACCCATCTCACATTTTGGAAGTACCACCTGTTGAGATACGAGAAGATCTGAACTATGCGGTCCAACCAGTGAAGATAGTTGACCATCAGGTGAAAAAGCTTCGCAACAAAGAGGTACCAACGGTTAAGGTGCTATGGAGGAGTGATCGAGTGGAAGAAGAGACATGGGAAACAAAAGATGCAATGTTGAAACAATACCCATCTCTATTTCAGTAAAAGGTAAATTTCGAGGACGAAATTTCTTTTAAGGGGGTGTGAACTTGTAAGACCACTCTCGAATATACACATGCACTCTATGTTTGAATAATATATATATATATATATATATATATATATATATATATATATAAATGATCATATTTCTATAAGTTTAGCATAACGGAAATAAATTAAAAACTTACTTTTACTTAATTGAATAGTTAGAACTCTTTACATAGACCCAAATGAAATAGTTGAGGAATGAGTTTAATTTGGTATTCTACGTACTGATGATATATAGAGATATCATAAACATGATACTTCATCTTAAATTTAAAGTTTTGAGTAAGGAGATGTCAACTTAATATTTTGTACGAGTGCTAGCAAACCCATGTGAAGAACCTGGCCGACGAATATTCGGCCATGTGAAGAGCCATACCAGTTGAAATTCATCTTCCTCATTTAAGCCACGAAATGACCATGCAGCAACCTTCCCAAATTCATTGTATAGACAAACTTGAGCTGTAACATTAATAGTAGGAGCAAATGACTCATCAAGTGCATGTATAAATATTCCCATAATAAGGGGTAGGACGAAAGGGGATAACATATATCCGCATACATGTTTTACTCCCGAAAATATAGCACTCCACTAAGTAAAGAGAAAATGAGAAGAAGGGGAATGTCGGCCATTACTATCATCATCACAAAGAAGACCCAGCATTTCGATTAGAAGCCTCGTTATCACTTAGACATGCAACCAGAGGAGTACCGAAGCTAGCTAGTTAGTACCACCGGCCACGATACCATCGGTTGGGACCGGACTGCCAGACCGCCAAACCTGCCGCCGACGTAACACTTCTCACCACCACCGTCTATGCACTGCCGTTACCTTGCCGCCGACCAATAAAGAAAGTAAAGAGGAGAAAGGGAACCTGGATTCACACATTGCTACAAGGATGCCGGAGTTTCCTACCGTCACCGGCACTTAGAATATTCCGACGCTAAAAGAAAGTGGTGCTAGGCAAAACTGCCATCGGCTAAGATGCTCTCTGTCCCTAACTAGACTACTAGAGTATAACAAGAGATTAATAAACTAACATTGCTGCTTATCCACACTCCATTGCATGGTTTTCCTCTTGGGTTCTCCTTGGACGAATAAAGAAGACGGTCAAGCAAGTGGAGCAGCAAGTGATTTAATTTTTGAGCCGGACCGCCGAGAGTATTTTACTGGACTGGATTTCTATGGTTTACATACTCTCTCGCAACTTAACTAAGGTGAGTGATCGGTTCTATATCTATACATTTTATAACTTTTGGGTTATATATGAGACTACCTAAATATTAAACAATTTTGTGATAGTTAAAGATGATATATAAAATTGCCGTGATGTCTAAATTTTTTAGCATGCTCTAAACCATATTCTACTAGCTAGTAATATTAATTACGTTTAAATTTGTATGCTTAAACTAAATTAGTAATTGCCTTATTTTAGGAAGAACTTTAAAACTAGGATAGAACTAGTTACACATATATTAAAATAGGCTTAATTGTGAATTTATTGGTATATGACGGGTCATGGTACAGACACCATACCCGTAGTGTTGCTGAGAAGATAATCCTATTCCGAACACGTTATTTGTTAAGTACACTTTTGGTGTATCAATAATCACCACGAATACATAATATTCTTAGGATGTACTTTATCGTAACGGACCGTGAACGAACTATCTGTATCTCGGAAGGAAGAAGTTCGGACGGACGGGCCGTAGGAAACAGGTTGTGAACGAGTCCAGCTGTATCTCGGAAGTAAGCGTACTCGGAGCGACGGCCTGTACGAAAACGGGGTGAGAGACACCCAATGGTATAATTAAACGCGGGCCCGAGGCCATTCATGAATAAAATTGATGCGGGCCAATGGCCATTTATAAAGAAATATTATATGGGCCCGAGTGCCATTAAAATAATTTTCCTTATAAGAAAAATCTCAGCCTGGAGCTGATTACTTTAATTATTATATATATGTAACATTTAGTAAAGATTTTACATATTATATATATATCACCCTATTTGAGGGTCTTAGGTATGAAACGATCGTTATACCTTGCATAGGTATAGCGCCCGTCCCTCACCAGTACCAATTGGACTGACCCTTCGGGGCGACATTTTTTTCAGGTTGAAGTTTGTTCACGAGACCAGTTTTATCCATTTGGGAGATTCCCTAGAGCAGACTTGGTTCGTGCTGTTCTCATGTTCTATTTACTATATTTAAAGTTAATAAATGCTCATGGATTATTTAAATTTCTATTTAGGGTCTGTGTACCCATGTATGCCTCCTGTGGCAAATGAATATTTTAAATTATGTTTCCGCTGCAATCTAGTATTTTATACTAGTTAATTGGCTACTTAATAATTTACCTTCTATGAATATTCTTAGTGTGATTGATATACACAATAGCCTTGCATTACCTAACGAGAATAGTCTGCGGATATTCACGAAGGGTTGTGCGGCGGTTGCCACGTCATCGGGTCGGTCCGGGGCGTGACAAGAACAACAATTCCCGACAACCATTGATGAAGAGGAGATTGAGGATGACGATGCGGAGGAGGACGAGGGGGGCGACGGGACTCACGGCACCCCGGATGATGAGCAAGAGTTGGAGGACGAGGGCGGTTCATCCCAAATTGGTAAGAAATCTAAATCTCCTATTATTGAAAACAATTTTACAAAAAGGAAAGATAAAATACCGATAAATGGTACGCAAGTTGCAATCATTGCAACAAAGAGTATAGCTTGGGAACTTCTGGCGGATACGGGAGTCTGACAAGTCATCTTAAGTCCGCCCACTTTGTGGAGTATGCGAAAATAGACAAAGGCAAGGGGAAGCAAACACAAATATCGAGGTTTGCAAATTCTCAACCTTTTGGTAATTTCTCCTATGATGATAAAAAACTTTTGACTGGTATGTCTCATTTAATTGTTGAAGAAAATTTACCCTATATTTTTTCCAAAAGTCTTGCTTTAAGAGATTATGCTCAAGGTACTTTAAATCCTCAATTTAGAAATTATAGTCGCAAAACGATTAAAAAAGAAGTTATAAGGCAATATAACTTGGAAAAAGAAAAATTACAAACATTTTTCGCAAACTTTGATGGACGTGTTAGTATTTGAAGCGATATATGGGAGGATACTTATCATCATATATATTATTTGGGTCTTACTACACATTATACTGATGATGATTGAAATATGCATAAACGTGTTCTTGCTTTTCGTGAATTCAATGATCGTTACACTGCTGATAATATTTATATTCTCATTGAGCGTATTTTAATTGAGTATAATTTGATTGATAAGGTGTTTGCTGTAGGTTTTGATAATGCTAGTAATAATACTGCTGCTATATCTAGATTGCGTGAATTGTGTGGTACTTCTACATTGATGGGTATGTTTTTTCATCAACGTTGTGCATGTCATATTCTAAATTTGTATGTACAAGATGGGTTAGCGGCATTAGGAGATGCTTTGGAGGTAGTGAAGGGGGGAATTAAATTGATTTGGGCTAACACTCCACTAAAAATGCAATGGCGGCAATATTTGAAGGATAGACGTGTCAATTATTGTGCTTTTCCTAAAGATTTGTCTATTCGTTGGAATAGTACTTATATCTTAATTCAAGTACTTATTAGATATAAAGATCATTTTCCTGCTTTTTTAAGACAATCTTGTAACTATATTATAAACCCGGATGACATCGACACTTGTGAAAAAATTGTTAATGTTTTGGTATATTTTAATAACGCAACTCAAACTTTTAGTCATGTTTATAAACCCACCGCAAACGAATTTTTTGTTGAAGTTGTTAATCTCGCCGGTACTTTTTGTGAATTTTCCGATGCCGCTTACGTTAGTCATTTTTGTGATTTCATGAAACAAAAATTTTTAAAATATTATTCACATATTCCGCATATATATGGTATTGCATTTGTTCTTGATCCTCGTTATAAACTTGTTTACTTGGGAACTTGTATAGATTACTATTATGCTTCTTTTTTTTCCAACTCAAGAGTTCGATGATAATCCCATCGACCCTAAACAAGAATACAACGAGGTTAGTAATTTATTTCATCAATTGTATAATGAATTTCATCAACTTGGGAACTTGTATAGATTACTATTATGCTTTTTTTTTTTCAACTCAAGAGTTCGATGATAATCCCATCGACCCTAAACAAGAATACAACGAGGTTAGTAGTTTATTTCATCAATTGTATAATGAATTTCATGCACAATATGGTAATGCACCCCCTCCCATGCCGCGAACATCTTCTTCATCTTAAGGGAAATCACTTTTAAAATCTGCATTTAGTTCTCTTTTGAAAAAAAGTAGAGCAACTCCCGCTACTGAACAAAGCTCAGTTAACGAGCTTTCTTTGTATCTAACATTGAATGTTGATTATGAAGTTGGGGATGACTTTGACGTTCTTAAGTGGTGGAAGGAAAATGAAAGAACGTTCCCGATTTTATCAAAGATGGCTAAGCAAGTGCTAACAATGCCGATATCAACAGTTGCCGTGGAACAAGAATTTAGTGCGGCCAGCAACGTCCTAACCGATTATAGAACGAGGTTGAGTCCGAGCTCTCTTGAGACGCTAGTTTGCTTCCACGATTGGTTGAAGGCCCAATGAAGAACTCAAGAAATGACCATCGCTCCCACCCGCCACTTTATGGAGGAAACAACCACCGAAGGCGGAGATTCCGATTTTTTATTACAAAATGTATTACATTTATTAAATTCATCCTAATTCTCAATTGTACTTCTTATTTGAAATAAATATACTTGAATTATTTTATATTATTGTGTACATCAAATCAATAATCAACAAAAAAAATTATTCAATAATCAATTCAATAAAATTAATTTGTAAACTTGTACTTCATATTTCAAATAAATATGCGTTCATTTTTTCATATGTAGCACTTCTCAAATTAATTAATTGGTTACAAACTTACAAGTTACAACTTAAAATTATTTTTCTAAAATCTAAAGTTGTTTTTAAATTAAAAATACATTTACAATATGTAATTTGTTTAAATACTTATACACCTATTTTGTAACATTTGTAAATTATAAACCAAACCACTTTTCTAAGTAAAAATAGGTTTACTTAATTCATTAAATTAATTAACTTATTTTACAATATGTATAATTTTCAAAAAAATAAAATAAAAACATTTTAAAATACAAAATAGCTCCCAAACGGCTATATAGCCGTTGGGGCTTTGGGTGAGGGGCAGGGGGGTCCCGGGGGTGGTGGTGTGAGGGGTGGGGTTCAAAAAAATCTATAAATACATCTATTTTCTACCATTTTTCTACACCTCTTCTCCAACTCTTTTCCATCTTCATCTTCTCTTATTATCCTACATTCCTACTTATACATTACCATTTTAAAGATAGAAAATAATTCTTCTCTTATGCAAAACAATTTTGATAAGTGGAAGGACCCGAAGACCGGACTGTGATGTACAACTTGCAAGTGGTGCAAGAAAGAGTGTTGCTTGGGGCGTTCACACGGAGTCGGGATGTCAATAAAACATATGAAGTCATGTGACAAAGGCAAAACAACAACCAACGGTGGCGGAAATCTGAATTGATACTTATTAGAAAATGTATTTCATATTGTTATTTTTTTCTTAATTCTCAAATGTACTTCCTATTTCAAATAAATGCACTTGAATTTTGTTTTTAATAAGAATTTGTATAATATATAATTTAAAAAAATAAATAAATAAAAGGCTTGGCCCTGCGGGTGGCCCGACCCGTGACCCGGGTGGGTGACCCGGCCCGAACCGGACCCGGGGGTTACCCGGGCCTCCCCTTTCCTGAACCGAGGCCCGGCCGGTCCTAGGCCCAACCCGGGTCCATCACTAGCACCATATATGGCGTAAACCCAAACACCCTTCCCCATTTTGGTGGAATGGTGCAAAAAATGGTGTAGCTATTGGAGCAATTTTTTGGCAAATCCACCAAAAATGGTGTAAGAAATGGCGATGGTTGGAGTTGCTCTAAGTAAGCACCACCTACAACGCTATGATCGAATAATAATGACTGATGAGACTAATAACTTTTTTGGGGTTTTTTCATACAAAAGTGTCGGTAGAAACAAATTAAAATTAAATACAAATAAAAATAATTAATATGTAATTACAAGTGTTGTTGAATAGTATTATTATTATTATTATCATCACAACAAAATATAGCAGAATTTACTTCTTCCCCTTCTAGGTAGTTTACTTCAGTGCGAAGCTCTTCCCTTCCCCCTTTTCTTCAACACGGCTGTCCTGAGAAACTGCGAATTTATTCAGAAATATATATCACGCTGTAAGATGGAATTATTCTTCCTGCAACTCTTTGAAAAAACACACTACTGCATACCATTTCCTATATTCTTGCGTATCAATCCTTCAAGTTTTTGGAATTTTCTTAATCTTAAAGACAGCTGGTGAAACCCAACGATCCAAACACACCGCATGCCACTTCCATCATCCCTGGATATGAAATTGCAGGAAGATCAGACAGGGTCAAAAGTTCTCTATCTGATAACTAATTAAGATTAAGATTAAAGAAAGCAACACATCTCAACTCAATATTAGTCCAAGTACAAAAACTTAAAAGCACATTATATTTTTCCATAATCAAAGTGCTAAAACGTAGCTATCTTTGACGAATATGTTTTAAGAAAATGATACGTAGTAACATTTTAAAATACTCCTATATGAAACTTTTTTTAGCAAAGGCCTAACACTACACTGTTTTTTTCCATCATTTTGGAGACGAAGACTCACTATTTTTGGCTTAGCAATATGATGGAATAAAGCAACGGTCAGTCCGTGTAACTTTCGATGTGATTTTCATCACGGGTCATCCGAAAACGATCTTTTTGTGCTTTAGTACAGGGGTAAGGCTACGTACATCTGAGCCCTTACCTCAGCAATCAGCATAGGTGGTAATATTGTTGTTGTTGAACCTTATTATACTGCTTTCATATTATAAAGTATTTTGTATTTCGTTTAAAAATATACTGAGGACTAGTGATCAATGTTTACTAGTTTATCATCTTTTACCAACTATTTCGAAGAGGTAATAATGTACTACCTCCGTCCCATTTTAAGATTCTCGTGGCAAAATGGCACGATTATTAAGACAATAATTAAATATGCTATTTCGAGTGTATTTTGAGAAATAATTTTAATGAGTATATAATATAATGGGTAATGATTTTATATATGTATTTTTTAGTATTTGATGATTAAATAGTCATTTAAGAATGTTAATTATTTCCTAAAATAGAAAGTGAAAACCTTTAAGTGGGACGTCCAAAAAAGGAAAGTGAGAACCTTTAAATGGGACGGAGGGAGTATGTATTCACAAAAAAAATTGGCAGGATAATACACTAATACGCTATACAACGGAAGAAAGGAATATTATGCAGAGGTATAGTAAAGCCATTGGTGTATGCACACGCTGGTTTGGATAATCAAGAAGATAGGAATCAATCAATAATAAGTATACAGATCACTAACAAATAAAGCCCAATTTTTTCTGTGGGTCAAATCTGTGAGATAAGTAAGAATTACCGATTCAACACTCGAATTTTACTTTTTTTTCGTTATTATTATTATATTTATTTGTACTACAAAGTATTATTTAATTTTATACGTAGCCTTAATTTTCAAAAAATATTCATTCACATACTCCGTATTATTATTAATTTAAACTAATTGAAGCAGGAATTATTAGTTTTAAGTCATCCAAATCCTAAATTATTAGCTTTCAGAAGTCCTTGATTGATATCTAACCTATCTCTGGGGTTATAGGTAAGAAAAATATCTCAAAGCTATATGCAAAGTAGGCTGTGAAAATCTATGTGACAACTTTAGCTATATGACCTTATAAAGTAAATTGACAAACAAATATCACCCACAGTTTAGTTGCAACCGGAGAAGCTCTTCACCTGCCATTAATTGTTGGCTAAGATGATTTACGTGGAAGCATAGTGTTAGGTACGCCTCACCCCATAGCTAGTCAACCTTTCTTTTCGTACATGACACTAACTATTGATTTACACAATCTATGATAGCAACATATGGCCTAAACTTGCATCACTAATCAGCAAACGCTTTACACCGTCCATCATTGATCTAATACCACCAAAACCAGGGCAAATGTACGATGTTGTCACTATCAGGCCACACACTAATAACAGTGACAGAGTCATAAACGTATAGTATAACTTTGGCCTGTTCTGATGGAGGAACATGACTGATTTAATTTTAGTATGTTATGTACTTCGCACAAAAAAAGGATTAGAAACATAAAACAAAATTATCATAGGAGTGTAAATTACTGTATTTGGAACTTACTAGTACTAAAATACATGAGGAAAAATTTAGGGGAATGGAATGGCATATTCTATTCCGTAATGGCATTTTATCTGGAATTTTAAGTGTTCAAAATTCCAATTAAAATACAGTCTTGCAATAGAAGATCTCATTCATAAAGAAAGTGTTAAATTCACGTATCGGGTTCGTGCAATCCATCTGGTAAAAGTATGATGCATAACTTTGATTCAAAGCTCAAGAATTCACCAAAAAGAAAGAAGCAAAAGAGAGTCATGAGTGCCAGCTTTTGAGAAGGCCTAATGGTATAGTTCACAATTGCTGTCGACCCAACAATTCTACCATCACTTTATAGCTCATTGGGTCACATGCAGATGGCATGACAACTATGCCTTGCAGGAATATGGCATTTCAGGAATTCCTCTGAGAAGGCTTCCATAAGGACAATTCAAGATTAATACATTATATTCGTATGCACATTGTTATAAAATCCCTCTAGGTGGTAGACTGGGTTCTACAAAAAGTGATATATTTTTAAAATCCTGGGTTGTACTGGCCAATTCAGCGATCCCATTGCAATCCTGAATATCATAATATCAGAGCACCGCCACTCGCATCAGACCCACACAAGGGTTATTAAGTGTTAATGAACTGAGCATTTTTTGAACTATTCGAGCTCAATTTCTAGCATAACAAACTAAGCTTTATGACATTCGAGCTGGGCACGAGCATCATAGTGTCTGATTCGAGCTTGACCCTATCAAGCATAATAGTTTTTTAAAAGTGGTATAATTTTCTAAATTTAAAGTACTTTTCAAATAATTCGAGCTTGATTCAATAAACGAGCCAGGCATATGTATCAAGAGCTCCTATTAAACTTTGAGTTTCTATCACGAACCGAAGACCACTAATACTATTAATGAATCTCGAGCTCATGGTGTACAAGCCGATTTCAGTTTATTAACACCCGTAATTTGTACTGTGTCATGTGGCCCATTCATCACCCGTAGTGCAACACATGGCCCAATTACCCAGATCAAATTAGAAGAATACTACCTAGTATCTATGAATCTAAGCATCCCACCGGAAAACCTCAATTGCCCATAGTGGCAAAATTTGAGCTTCATTCCGGGAGGAGGAAATTCACAAGCAAAGAACTCATTTAGATTTTGAACTAGATGGGTTATCCAGTTGATGAGCACTTAAACTACCTAATAGATATGATTCAAACTTTTAGCATCGCTTAATACAAACAGAGAAGGACGCAATTTAACGATCCCAACTCAATCATGAATTCTAACCTGCCTAAACAAACTAAGCAATGAAAAGAGGGCTTACACTAAGAAGGCATTTGGTTCAAATTATCTCATATTTTTATGAGAACGTTATGAAAGTAAGCTTAGATTACCTCGTTTGGTTCGAGTTATAAAGTAATAGGTAATATGAGATACAATTTGATTAGTTAAAGTTTTAAATTTACCAAGGTTAAGCACATATAGGAAAATAGTTTAAATGTAATATTACTAATAATGTCAGTCCATATAATCTCACATTCCATAAGTAATCATAAGTATACTTGGGTAATCTTATATTCTCATGATCTCAAATTACCAAGAGAATCTAATATTCTGCAAACCAAACTGCTCATAATATCGCCTACAGACACATAGTCGCACGCAAGAACTCTGAAAATTCACCTTCTACGTTTTGCAAATCGCAAATTAAAAGTTAACTAATAATAACACTCCCTATTTATGTTATATACAAATCAAATTTATTTCTCAAAATATACTCAAATTATCTTATTCAATTATTGTCTAAATAATTCTAATTTTTTTTAACTAAGAAGCTTAAGCGGTACTGGCAACTTAGTAATTTTTCTGTAAAGGCAAGAACAATGACAGGTTAAGAACGCATACCTCTTCTTGGCTTTGAAGCAACAGTGGGAGGTTTAGTAGGAGGAGCTGCCGCCAGCTGACTGGCCTCTACCGGAAACAGAACGCCATCAATCCCCTGTACGGAGATTCTCCCGTCTGTATATATATCCGGGTCGAACAAATAAGCTGAGCCTTCTCCATGGCCGAATTTCACCGACCCATCAGCCTCCTGTGCCACCACCTTATACGGCAATCTCAGAGTATCATAATGGATTTTCCCGAACCTCCTGGCCGCATTGTACATACTTTCCTCCGTTTGATACTCCGGGATCAGATGGTAGTACATTATCTGCTCCGGCGCTCCTGGCTCGCTCAGTTGATCGGTGTTCAGTTTGGCCATAGCTTCGTCATTTGGAGCTAGAACAGTCAATACATATCCTTCGGATACCAATTTTCCAATTTCAGTTGCCATAGATGTCAAGTTTACAAGAATATCAGCAAATTCGTTGTACCCGCCGTAATGTAGTAATGTCTGGATGAAATCCTTGACCTGGCTCTCCCCATCGAAGTGGTGGACGGGTCCGCCGGGGCCTGGTGCAGGAGCCGGAGCTAAAGATGGGCCCGGAGCCATGGCGTCGTAAATGGCCAATACGGGAGGCGCACCAGCTGGGACTGCTGCAGGTTTTTTTAGTCGGTGGGTTCTCGGGTCAACCTCCGGAGCTCCGGTGGGGAGGACGGCGGAGATGGAGCGCAAGTTCCTCCTGGTGTTGAAATTCTGCTGCACCGACTCGGGGATCAACACGCGCTCAATTCCGTGGATGACGCCGTCCTGACGGACTATGTCGTCTTGCCGGACAACTCTCGCGGCGCCGACACGTCTCTCCCCTTTCCTCTGAGACACGACGAGATTCTCGCCGGCGGCGGATAGACTCGGAGCGACCCGTGAGTCATTCGGCCAGTTTTGGGAATCAATGCGGGTGGGCATCATGTGGAAGAGAAGCAGATTCTGCAAAGCCCGGAGATTCCCGGGCTCAAGCAAGAACCGCTTGAACTCCGGGTCCAAATCTCGCTCCAAAGCCTCATTCCTCGGCGCAAAAATCGTGATATTGTGGCGAGAAACAGACTCTTCGAGGGTCTGGAGCAAAAGGGCCTTCTCGACGAGCTCAGAGAGCTCCGTGTAACGAGAATCCAAAAGGGCCACCAACACAGAGTTGGAATTGATCTGGGCAGCTGAGTTCGCCGCGCCGGAATGCTTCCCCGGCGGCATTTCGCGCAATGTAGCATCAATTGGAGCTAAAAAGAAGAAGAGGACGGCAACAAATTTGCAGAGGCCATAGATCTGGGATTCCATGGCCGCTTGTAGATTTCAGAAACTCTGGGTTCCTCTCGGATCTCTGCGCAAGAAGAAGTTGTTCTGTCTTGCTTTAACTTCTTTGCCTATCTGTCAGCACAGAATGTAGTTGGGGTTCATTCCAGAGATGAGAAGAGCGGAGATGGCTGCCTGAGTTAATGCAGTCCCTCTCATGTTTGGTGGGCTAAGACAATAAAAGCAAAGAGAGAAGTCAGGTTCTTTTGTTGAAGTCTGATACTTGCTGGGATTGGGGTAAAAGAAGATAAATGGCAACGTGTGAAGGTTTACGTTTAATTTATTAAACTCGTAGAAGAGTAGTTATTACCAGTAAAGCGGATCATAATTTCTCTAGTGATTGATCTTTTAAATATTGCAGATTACAGCACCCTACACAACAAAGCTCAATTTAGAATGAATTTGGTAAGGTTGAAACGGGTGAAGTTAGACAGTTAGTGAAATCATTAAGATTATACGTCAAATGGTTGAATTTATTCTATTATGGAACAGTTATACTCCTTTGTATTTTAATGTTCACTACAATAGTCTTGAGCACATTATTTAAGGATAAAATGGTAATTGTGATAGATAGTGCAGAAAAATTAGTACAGAAAATGTAAAAGTATGAAAGAGAAGATAAAAAGTAGAAAAAGTAAGATAATTGAGTATTTATAAAAGAAAAACTTACTGAAAAGGAAAATGCAACAAACTTTAAAATACATCCAAAAAATAAAGTGTAACAAACATTAAAATACGAAGAGAGTAACAAAAATGTATTTTATAGATAAAATAAAGAAAAACTAAAATAAATTGGAGTAATTCTTTTTAGCAAATTTAACCGATTGAGAAAGAAACATAACTCATATCTTACTTCCTTAGAGCATCTTAAATGGGATGGTGCATTGGGGCTGATGTGGCATAGGAGAGAGATAGAGATAGAATAAATATTTGGGTAAAGTGGTGTGTAGGGAAAAATGAAAAAGACGAGAGAGATAAAGGTAAAAATGGACCTATGTCTATGACAAGGTCCATATAATTACACAGGATTCAGGGTGGGAAAGTTGATGAAAAGTGGATTAGAAGTGATATAAAAAAATAAAAATAAAAATAAATTAGGAAATACATGAGTCCTACACATAAAAATTGTGAAATAAAAAATGGGACTCATGCGTAAGGGTGTGTAAGAGACCACACCCTTGCATTGGAGTTGCTCTTAGAGTTGGGTAAAATAACCTATTCGTTACTTTACTTGGATTGTTACACTTCGTGAAAGAAAGAAATGTATAGTGTTGGTAAAAAATTACGGTATACTGTATAAGAAATGTAGTTGGTAAAATAATTAAGCCGAAATAGAATTTATGTAGTATCAGATAGGCCCTTGTTTTATGTTTAAGCGGTCATATACAACGTTCTAAAAGACGTAAGACGTGCGGAGGGTTCAACCTTTGAAGCTTAGGCGACAACTATTGCTCAACAATCCTGACATATTTCGGCAAATTTAGCACAATAAACAAGTGTTCCCAAAGAAGTGTTTGGGTTAGGCGCCTTTTGTCTTGCTTATGAAGTATGCAGGGCATTTAGGTCAGGAAAATTTTAGTGTACATGAATTATACACAAAACCCCCCAGTTGTCTGTTTACACATGCAATTCGTTTAAAATGAGGCCGGATTTGATGTCAAATTGTCTTTGTACGCAAGCAATGTACACATTTTGTGTACATCTTGTGTACATCAAGAATGGTCCTTTAAGTTAAGCCAAGGCCCACCTAGGCGGTCCTTATCACGCTTTTAGAAACTGTGATCGTGTACTACTCATAATCATCTTCAACGCCCACTTTGTACAAATTCATGGGTAAAATGATACTTCATCCGTCCTTGTTTAATCTTCCTGATTTGGATTGCTCTCATATCAAAGGAAATATATTTTTTCCATTGACTTCGCCCTTTGACTGGGAGGTAAACTTTACTGTATAATAAACTATTTTGACACAGTTCAACACTGTTTTGCACTATGTTGTCATTACTATTTACAGGTATTAGAGTAAATTGATATAATTTTATTTACCAAATAGGGAAGATGGTTGTATTTAGAGACATTCATAAAAGAAAGTGAGAAATCTTTAAGGAAAAGAGGGAGTATATTTTACGCTACCTCATTATAACTTCATCAAATAGAAAGAATTCACCATGTTCTTTTTTTGGATGAAATGTAAATTATATTAACACCCAAGCAAAAATAACATTTACAATGTGTCGAAAAATCTAAAGCCCCCCCCCCCTATTTCGAGTGAAAAGGAGAGGGTTGTCTGGAGCTTTTAATCTATTCTAAATCCAAGATAGCCAATACACGTGGCCCAAAAAATCTAAGTCTATGACCGGTGCTGCAAGGTGCACGCACTCGAATATAAACTAGCTAATGCCGTTGCATTCAGAAAAAATCTTGAATCTTCTCAAAAGTTGATCATCTCATATAGGTAGATACTGAATAGTATCTTGTAAACCATATGTTTGACCTTAGCAACCACATCATCTTCGGTATTATTTCCTTAATCAAATCTGATAGAATTCCTCGCTTGCCAAATATAGTATGCCACGGCAAAAAAGGTTAACCGGGCTGCCTTCACCTTCATGTTTGCTCCTTTGCGGGTCTTGGAAATCCACTTTACCGCACTTAACAATGTATTCATTTGATGCCCAAATCTCATCCAGCTTTTGATCCTCTCCCACCTACACGTGAAAGGGCAAAGAAAAAGTAGGTGTGGAATTGTTTTCTATCCACCTTTGCATAGGTCACAATGATTCACGATATGGAGGTACCTGAGACTATCTCGAGTGGGTAGCCTATTTTGTAGGATTTCCAAACATTAAACGAGAGTTTTGGTGGAATATAGGATTTCCAAATGAAGCTCATAGGGGTCCTAACAGTCCCCTTAATTACTCTCAAAAGCTCATAGATCTTGACCGAAATCAGTTTGTCATTAATGGATCTAGCATTAAGGCCCATAATGGTTTCGTTGAAATTATTAAAACACCCACGTATTTTATTACGTATTTGGTACAACCTCTTCAAGAATTGTGATTTGTGAGTCACGACCGTGTGCGACGAATTCCCACGCACTTTCACCCCGAAGGTATACGCCATTAACCCACCCAACCCAAAGGGTATCCTTCTAAGTCCTAAAGTGTGCAAGAAAGGAGATCGTCATTCCAAACCTTAGCATTATGAATGCCAAGCCCCCTTCCTCTTTAGGGAGACAAATGTCATCCCATGCAACTTTGACATACTTGCCACCCCATAAGAAAATCCTACATATGGAAACTATCCTATCCAAAATCGTTTGGGGAACCGGGAAGACTTGGAGACAAAAAGATTGGACCCCTTGGATCACCGATTGAATCAGCTCCACCTTCCCAGCATAGGATATTGTCTTCGTATTCCATGCCTATAAGAAATCATTGACCATGTCAAGTAGCGGTGCATATTGGGAAACCGATACTTTAAGGGGGGCAAGAGGGATCACAAGGTATCTAACCGGGAAAGTCCCTTGCCCAAAGTCGACAAGGTCTAACAAGTTTTGCAATTCAAGGTCTCGCACACCACCCACAAAAATGTTCGATTTCCCGTGATTTACTCTAAAGCCCGATACATCTCCAAACTCTTTAAGAGTGTTAACTAATATTTCTACAGAATACGTATCACTCCTCGAAAAGAGAATAAGGTCATCTGCATGTTCTAGGATTCACCATGTTCTAAAATGCGGGAAGTGTGGAAATACCCCAAGGTCGAGGCTCAAGCCAAAATAAGTGAAGCCTAGGCGAGAGTATGCAGAGTACGTATAGGCATAAAAATGTGTTTTATATTTTTATTGATGAATACTACGACGTATTTATAGGGTTATATTAAAAAAAATGTCCAAAAAATACTATATACAAGATTGCACCTAATTTTTACCTTATTAAATATATAAAGTTTAGAAATGTATAGAAAGTGCAAACACAAAATGGTATGTTGTTGCTTTTAACTATTTCGCATTAGGTTCCTTATATAACATTTTTATTTAAAGAACACTTATTTATTACTAATAATGAAAGTGATAAGAAACAAAGCAAATCAATAGGTCAGAGCTACCCTGGAGTGAGACATAGAACTGACCAGCCCCGAGGACCGTCAAGATCACTAATCCCGCATCATGGTAGACTAATCTAACAACATCGATGTACTTGCTACTAGAAAGAGAAGAGATTTGACCAGCTACCTCCAAAGATGCCACTTTTGATTTTACCAGCTATTGGGAAGGGAGAAGAGGTTTGTCCTGCCACCTTCAAAGAAAGCATCATGTTCACAAGATCTAAAAGAATTCCAGACGGTGCTGATCCAGTAGCACCGCCGCAGAGCCGTTTTTTGTCTTGTTCCATCAACCTCCATAATGACCTCCATCACTTAGACCATGGCTAGATTCCCTAACTCGCGGCAGTTCCAACTCACACAATCCATCCAAGTAGTCACCACACCCGACTGGCCAAAGCTAGCGGGTACAGAAACACCCTACACCTGAGGGGAACAAAAATGTCGGATATATCGGGAATTGAAAGAAACCAGGCTAATGATTATCACTTGTGTAATTCACCAACCTTGTCACGATGACAAACCTTCAGCGGCGGCGGCGCATCCGACAGAGGATAGAAAAGCAACCACACACCTTATACGGCGAACTTACAAACCTCAACTAAATATCTCTTACCATCTTAAAAATAGATTTTTTTTTAAATTTGACCGACATTTATGTAAAGAACTTCTGTTTTTCATGCTTAGGTTTCAATGTCTAGGTTCATTCAATTTTATGATTTTGGTGAGAACTCCCTATTTGACTCCCTTTTGAACACATTTCTACTATATGGGGCGTTTTTTTTGCCGTCTCACGCCTAGACATGACTAGTCTTCGCTTTTTGACGCCTTTTAGAACACTCACAATCTGTGATAAATATAAAACTAGTTAAAGGAAAAATAGTATTCTTTTTAAGATGTAAAAATATTATTAAAAATAAATTTAGAATTCTTTTTTCGATTCTATTCCAATTAAGATGTACCGCCTTCGTACCGTAGAAAGGTTTTCATGTGGATTACAATGTTTAATTGACCATAAAGTTAACTAATCTATGTCCGTAATTATATTTTTTAGTATATAACATTTAAATATTTAGAAATTACATTAAATTTTTTATAAAGTCAGAAAAGATAAACTCAAAT